CCCCGCTCCCTCCCGTCCCCCGAGCCGTCTCCCCTCCCTGTCTCCCCTCCCTGTCTCCCCTCCCTCTCCCCTCCCTCTCCCCGGGGCGGGGCGGGCTGCGCGGCGGGGCTGCTCGGCCAGGCTGGGTGGGCTCTGCTCGGTCGGGCTCGGCTCGGGTGGGCTCGGCACGGCTCAGCCCGGCCCGGCACGGCTCAGCCCGGCCCGGCCCGGCCCGCCTGCATGCGGCGGCGGCGGCGGAGGGGCTGCCGGGCGGGGTGAGCGGCTCGGCGCTGCCGGATCGGAGGGATGAACGGCTCCTCGGCGGGGCTCCCGGGAGCGCTCGGCGGGGCCGCGGGGCTGCAGGGAGGGCCGAACGGCTCCTCGGCGGCCGCGGGGCTGCTGGCGGGGGCCGGGGGAGCGGCGCTGGAGCTGGAGCGGGCGCTGCGCTGCTGCACCGCCGCCTCCGTGGTGACCGACGGCAGCGGCGCGGCCGAGGAGCGCAGCCTGTACATCATGCGGGTCGTGCAGATCGCCGTCATGTGCGTCCTCGCCCTCACCGTCGTCTTCGGCATCTTCTTCCTCGGCTGCAACCTGCTCATCAAGTCCGAGGGGATGATCAACTTCCTGGTGAAGGACCGCCGGCCGTCCAAGGAGGTGGAGGCGGTGGTGGTGGGGCCGTACTGACCGCCCGGCCCCGGGACAGCGCCCGGCCCCTCTGCGGACACGCCGCCGCCTCGGCTCGGAGCTTTTTCCTCCTCAAAAACCGCCCCACGGACGATTCCCGGGATCCCGGAGGCCGCGGAGCCGCGCGGGGCGCCCGGAGCCGCCTGTCCCGTCCCGTCCGCCCGCGGGCTGCCAAGTAAAGCGTGCTCTGATGGCAACAGGTCTGGGGGTCCTTATTCCGTCCGCCTTTATCCCTCCATCCCTCCCTGCGCGTCCCGGGGGGCCGCGGAGGGGCGCGGGGGGCGGCCGGGATGCACCGGGATGCACCGGGATGAACCCTTCCCTCTCCCCCCGGAGCCCGTCCGTGCAGGTTTTTCCTCGCAGTTCTGCTAAAATTCCCCTTTTCCAGCGCTTTTCCAGTGCTTTCCCAGTCCTCCCCGGTTGCACCAGGCTGGGCGAACGCGGGACGCGCATCCCTGGGCGCGGGGGAGATGCTGGGACCGCGGTCCTGCCCCGTGGATCCCGCGGCTCCCGGCTGTGACCAGGGAAATAACCCAAACCACCCCGGCTGCATCCCCTCGGTCCGGGTTTGGCTCTGGAAAACCACAATACATCGGGTTTTTTTTTAACCCGGCTGGCCAACAGGTGACTTCGCACGGTCACGTTTTCGGGAGGGAGAAGCTGCTGCCCGCGCGGGGTTCTGTTCTCTCCATCCCTTCCCTCCGTGGGGACTCCAGAGCATCTTTCTAAGCTGTTTATCACATCCCCGGGGGCTCCTCGGGCGGTTGGTGATAAACTGATGTCTCCGCGTTTGCTGGAGGGGAGTGGGACCGGCACGAACACTTGCCGGGGACACGGCAGAGGGATGGGGGCAAAAGAGGCTCAGCCAGCGTGTCTGTGAGATAACGGCTCTCACGAGCCCCGAATCCCCGCAGTAAGATGCTAATTGTCGATATTTTTAATGCCGATAATGATCAGGAAGTTTTCCGGAGCAGCCAGACAGATTTCCAGGCTGCTCGGTTCACCCTGGGTGCCGAGATGGCTGAGCCACCAAAGTGTTCCAGACACCTCCGGGAGATGTTATCAGGAGCTTAAATTGTGATGGACAAGGTGAAACTCATTGACACCTGAGCTGGGAGGGGGGTGAAATAAAGCTGGAGCCTGACACAACGTCTTCTGATGGAAAGTGAGACAAAGCAGAGCATCCCAAGGGAGTTCAGTTCCCCGTGTGCTCCCTCATTTACAGCTACATTTAAGGGAAAGACAAAGAACAGATCTGCCTGTTCTCTGGGGAACAAACACGCTGTGGACTCGTCATTATAGC